CTCATGGAATGTAACTATTTATCTCTGTTTGGCCTGGCAAAAGTTTTATATTCAGTTAAATGCTAGAGAACATTCTATGCCTCTATGAACTAATATAACTGCTTTTAAAATAAACATACTAGATCTTATGCATACAGAAGATTTCCCCCTTCAAAGATATCTCCTAGGGACTGTGCATTTATTCCAGCTCTGTCATCATTGCTATTTTTCTTTATTTTTGTTTTCAGCTTTTTGGTTGTTATTGCTTTAGAATTTCTTTCATGGTCTACATTCAAAATACACTTTTGAATATCTTTAGTGGCAGCATATTTTCATCCATTGATGATGCTTTGATTTTTAGAAGCAGACAAATGTATATTAAATAACAGAAAAATTTAAGTAAATATATGATTAAATAAATAGGTGTAACTGAAGATGTTTCATAATGGGGCTGATGTTTCCAGTTGAGTGTTATATTGGCCCCAAGAACAACTCTTAAGAAGGAAGGTCCTCCCATGAGAAGGGCTTCTGAGGAATTCCTTTAAAGAGGCACCATGAATTTTGAAGAGTTGGTTCAGATATACTTGTTTCAAAATTGGCTCTTTCATGCATAAAGAAGGAGAAATTTCGAGAAGAGAATTAAAATAGAGGTGGAAGGAAATCTACATGCACTGGCAATTGAAAATTATCTGATATACTATAAGATAGAAAATTAACAGAGAAGTATTATTAGTATATGAGCCAATGGCCTTATTCCACCCCCAATAAAGGGTCCTGAAGAACTGTGAAGTCAAGTATAGATTGGTAGAAGTTATAGGGCAGAAGTAATTCAAAAGGTAAGCTGTATGTGTCTCTATGTGTATATTTGCACTTTTTTGTTTTGTTTTGTTTTCTTTATTCATTACTATATCCTTCTCAAAATAGTCCCTGTAGTTTGGCAGATTAAGCTTACATGCATTCTCTTACTTTGTCTTGGGCATCCAAACATACCTTCATCCTTCAGTTTTCAGTAGTCTTCCAGGATATATTTGGTAATCTCAAGCCTCTTCTTTTCTGTCATGGTTATTTGCAGAAATTTGATTTGTGCCTTTGTATTATATTTTTAAATTATTTATTTGGAGACTTTCTCTACAACAAGTTTGTTTATTCCTAAAAGGCAAGGACTCTGATTCTTCCTTATTTAAGGCCAATGTGTGATTCAGAGAAGTTCTCTATCTGGTTGAAATAAGGAATAAATTTGGAATGGACCTTGTAACTAGAAGTTTATGATTAGAATGTATCTCTAAAACTTCACAATTTGTTAGAAGAGACTGACTGGTGATTCTTTTTGTTCATAAAGTTTGGAGAACACATAGGAAATGAGTATTGAGAGCACTGATAATCTCTTTTTTAAGTTACAGTGGAATAAGCTCATTTTCTCCCATGTAAATTATCCACAGGGAATTTTGAGTTCTAGGGTGCTTGCTCCTAACCTGAGTCCCATCTCCACCATCCAGATTTTCAGATAATCCTAGGTTATGCAAATGACTTAAGTATTAATCTAAGTAAGAGACTTTAAGGGACCTAAGTGGCACAAATGGTTTGTGCTTGACTATTAACCTAAAGGTTG